GACAGAGAGGAAACCGGCCGACCACAAGCGAACTCAGGCCTCCGGAGAGACCCGAGTATCCCCTCCCCCCCAAGACAGCCACGGACGGCCTCCTGCCAGATCCGTGACCGTCTTACTCCCAGGGCTGTACCCCCAGCCCTCCCCCCCGTGACTGATTGCACCGGAATACACCAGTGGGCGATGGGGTCGTCACGTCCCGACGCCGGAATTACTAATAAACTTTGTGCCAAACTAATGAAACCAGATTTTTGGATTGTACCTGCAATGATGGCTCTCTATTTAAAACGATGAACTCACGAATGGACAAGACCTCATTTTTGAAGGGATACCTGAAACATATTAATGTCTAAAACGTGTTCATTCTTGAATATACAAACAGAAAACTTCATAAATGTTTAATAAGAAATTGTCATCTGTGTTCTATCTTGAAATATTCTAAGAGGTACCTGTTTCGTCACAACAAACTAGTTTAAATATTTTAAATTCGCTACTGCTTATATTACTTCCAATGCAAATCGTATCAAACTTAATATCACCTTCAAATTATAATTAAGTCATTTTTAGATATTCAGTTAGTAATAATACGAGTATATCAGAATATTGTTATATAGAACTCTGACAACATAATATAAACTATCTCTGTATAAATATTTTAAAATGTTACTGATTCTTGTCACAATAAGAGGAACCATCATCGAAGAACAATAAAATGTATTAAACGTTATGAAAACGAAGGTATTAAAATATAAAGTACGAGTAGTATTATCTAGAAGAAATGAGGTTATAACTTCAAATTCAATAATTAGGTAAGTAATCGAAAGGTATTTGACCAAGTGATTGTTAAAACTAGTGTCAGTAAAAAGAGCATACATTCCGCAGACTTAATAAGCTTTAGGTTTTCCATTAGTGAATGTTGCCAGTTAAATCTTTGTTCACATCCCAAAGAGAAACTTTTAAAATCTGTTTCAAGGCAGTTTATTTGAATGATAGCTATACTTTATTGAAAGTTATCTCTGCCTGCGTTTACCTGGCAATAAAAATCATTTAACCTTTTAGTTAAATGTATTAAAATTTTATATTACATAGCATTTCTGCCAGACAGCGATTTTGGCGCCATAAGTCTTCAATCTTTCTTAATATCTACGCTCAGAATGTTGCTTATAATGTATTCGGTAGTATAATTGTTATAATTAAGTTGATAAGCATATAAATAGTGTAATTTTAGGTAGTAGAATACAATTATTCGTATGAAGTGATGTTGAACAGTGTATTCAGGTAGTTCAATGTCCGCTTTGCGTTCCATTCACTATGAATCAAGAAGAACAAACATCTAGCACGTGATCTCAATACTAACTTACACTCTAAACTATTATATGCCAGGGATATATGCTTTCTTATAACGAGTTTAAAATTATATAAAGCGAAAAAAATATATTGCCTTTTTAAATATAGACAGTTAAAACTAAGTTTGACTTATATTATATGTAAAATTTAACTTTATACTAAGCCTATATTAATTTTTAATATAATAATAGTGTAGGGTACAAGTTCAATTATGCTCATTTATTCTTGATTGAAATACACTGCTAATTAATTTAATTTGTAGTTTTAAATTATTGTTAATATACTTAAAAATAATAAACAGAATCAAAATATTTTCGTGTAATATTTTATAATCTGTAATAGTTATGCTATAAAGTCATCGATACAACATTTTTTGTTTATTCGCGTTACAATCATGAAATATTCTGCCAATGTCAACGTTTTTATTTCTTGGACGAAATTATATTACATACTTTGTTGAGGAAACACGAAAGAGTATGCTGAATGGAGTAAAGGCGTTTATTTAATTATAATATATACCACTTATTTTTATTGACAATCTATTGTCTGACATTGAAATTGTATTAAATGTCATATGCTATAAAGTTTTTGTCTTATTTTATTCCCCCTGTATGGTAATTTTTTTACAAGTAGGTTTGTTATTTCAAATTAATAAGGGAAAATGTTCTATACATATTTTAATAAAAGAGAGTAAAAATTTCATATCATCAAAATTTACAGAAATAAATTTATAAATAACAAAAATATTTTTGACATTTACATTGAAATGATTATACGAACACATCAGAATGTGTAGAGAGTATTTTATACACACAATATTTACTCACAAAAGGTTTTAATTTTTTTTATTTTCATACCTGGCGTGGTCTACATAAATAAAAACAAACTATAGATTTTTTTGCATCAATAGGTAGTAGCAATCGAAACTGTTCGAAGACGTTTCAAAGAAACTGTGGTATTAATTTATAAAAGAAGCACCATGTTGGAAAGTAAAAAGCGACAATGTTCTTAAAGTTTCCACTCAATAAGCGAACACTCCAGTCGGACACTCGCTTGAATATCTCATTTCTTGAATTCTTACTTTCACTGTTAACTTTCAGATCGATAAGAGCTTGTAGGAACAATTTTTAACCTTAATTTGTTTTAAGTTACGAACTTTTACAGACAAATCTTTTTGGTAGCAAATTTCTTATAAGATGTCTTAAGTATAGTCAAAAAGTAAACTGGTGAAGAAGCTAAGAGGTGTTACATCAAACGCTATTCTTGCGGTATTGTGGCGATGCCTCTGTGTATATATCTGTCTGTGGCATCAGAGCTCTGAAACCGATCAACCGATTTCTATGCGGTTTTTTAAATTAAAAGCCAGAATAATTGCAATGGTTCTTATCTATGTTTGGTTATTATCGGTCGAGCAGTGAAAGTTTATCTCTTATTCAAAATTACGTTAGGCACTTTTGTACTATGATTATTCGATCAAGTGATTTAAGTAACGTAAAATGGAAATTTATAAGTAGGGTTTTTGTTTTATTTATTTTAATAAAGTATGCTTTTAACATGTTCCTATTATATGAAGTAATGTATTTAATACGTATTACGAACTACATACATTGAAATTTAAGTACTAATTGGTATGACAATTTCAATATAAATGCAATGTGTTGATTTATTGTTATGGTCTTAATTTATTAATGAGTTTTGTGATTTCACGAAAATGTTTGAGATCCAAAAAAAACATATCACATTCAAACATACTCGCATGCACACATACACACACACGAAAAATTTTATAACAACCCTATTTTTGTGTTTAACATTAACAAAAATTTACTTTTTGTTATAATCTACATAGGTATATTAACAGAGAACGTTTGCTTTGGACATTACGCACGCTTATATGAACACAATGGATATTCAAAACAACTACAACTTGATGAGCGAGCTCAGAACGCAAACAGACTTGAGGTAAACTAACCACAAACATTATGACTTTTAATATTGTACGTACCGACACTAGCACGTGGAACTGAACTCGAGTCTCAGCCACCGTTTAGAATAGACTAAATGAAACAGATAGGTTTGATCATGACTTAAAGCCACAACATACTTGATATTAATAAGTAAGAAATAAAAGTAGTGACTATTATTATATTGAAATAGTGTCGTCATCAGCCTATCAGAGCCCACTGCTTTTCAAAGGCCTCTTTTTCTCATGGAGAAGGTTTGAGCATTAATGACCGCGCTTGCTCAAGACGGATTGGTGATTTCAAACTTATAATTGTGAAATTATGAGGCCAGGTTTCCTCACGATGTTTTCCTTCACCGTCTGTCAGTGGTGTCTAAATACTCGTAGAAAGTACATATGACTCTAAAAAATCACCTTGGTACTTGCCGGGATTGAACCCGAGTCCTCGTGTACGAGAGGCGAGCCCTATAACTACTAGCCCACCACTGACTTGAAATAGTGGTCTTTTTTATTATTATAACAATAGGATTGTAAAACTAACTTGAAAAAAATACCTCATTGGTAAAAAGAATGAAACAACAAAATATATCGTTTAATTTAACAAATGAAAGATATTCGTTGTTTATTAAAAATCCTTTTTTATGCTTTATATTTCTATGAAATATTAAGTATTTTACATAATCTAACATTTAAGTATCTTATATGTCCTTATGTACGTCAACTTGTTTGGCCTACTTAAGTAGTAACCACACTATATAGGTACCCAATATGGTAATCATTTGACTATGTAAGTAAGATTGTTAAGATTTGGAAATTCAATGTTAAATATATACGAGTAACTACAAAAATATTATAATTTACCAGATTGAATGATTTTTTTACTACAATTAGGTACATTTCATATATATCTCTAATCATTGTAAGTGGGTAGTTATCAAAATATATTATCCAACATTCGAGTTTTTTTAGAATATAACAATACTTGCTATTTTTAGTCAATTTATTTTATCTAAAAACCTAGTTGGATTCTTAAAATGCCGTTACATAACTGAAAAATCTCAAAGCTAATTGAAACATCAGCTATCAAGTCAAAACTTTTTAGTACATTTGTGGATAATATTTAGATATGGCAACATATACTAGAATTATCATGTAACAGTTTTATAAATGATAATTAAATAAAACGACATTATTGCTATATTATTTAAATAAAAATGTAATAATAATGGATTGGTTTGTATGTTTGTAGCTATATTTATGAACCATACAGACATCTAGGTAGAGTCGGGATTTATAACTAGTATGTGAATACTATCCACATTTTCATATCACTAACAATTACAAAGTAAACAAAGAAATTAATCACTCAAATGTTGCTATTAGACACAGTAAGTCCAATTCCCTAGAACCGTCGAATAATTTTTGCATGTTTTTGTACCAGCAAAATGGCACTGATATAATCAAACTTTTAGATACACCAGATACATAAATAAAACACATATGTACATGCTATAATTTTTTTATTAATGGTACACAGTGGGTTATATTTTAAAATAGACATGTAAATTCTTATGATTAATTATCCCCAATTTTTGGGTATAGATATCAGTGAGTCAACCTTTAATGTTATTTAAATATAATCTGTTATACCAGTTAAATGCTGTTTATAAAAAAAATGACATAACTGATATTGTCACTCTTCTTCATTCATATGCAATGCCTGGCTAGTAGGTGCGACAGATTGAGATGGAATATTTGTCTTTATGCCACTATTATTACTTTGACCAAACCCAGCGAAAGGGGATGCATTTTGAGGAAGACCAAATATACTTGGACCCTTCTGGTTAATTCCCGATGGAGCTTGCGAGGAAGAACAGCCAAATAATGAGCCCTGACTTAAGCCAGTCGACTGTGCTCGGCCAAAAGCTTGACTGTTAAAATTTGATTGTACATTAGAAAAAGGTTGAAATCTGTTCATATAGAAATATGCAAACTCTGGAATAGTATGCAAGTTTTTGGATTTATTAATTGAATATTTCTTGACAAATGAAATCTCTTCCATGACAATGTTGTATGCTTGTTCTAATGTATTCGGTTGTTTCATTCTCACCATGTTAACTAAATACTCTGGAAGATTGTATGAGAGTACTGTAATTGCCATCTTGTTATACTCGTCTACTTTCTTACATTTCTCTGCCTCGTCAATATTGTTATTGATTTTTGATATAAGAATTCTGAGTAATGATTGCAAGCGTAGGTAAAAAGAAGAAAAGTTCTCTGAAGGATTAATTTTAAGAGATTGAAACTCCAATTCAATACTTTCCTCGCTTCTTGTGTCACTGTAGTTTTCTATCAATAGATTCTTTAGTTTGTTCCAGGAATCCACGTCATCTCTTTCGCTCAGCAAGCTAGCAGCCTTGTCTACAAGTCTGCTTGTAATCGTATGAAGTAAATATAGGTTTTGTTCATCATTACCCTTATACATATCTATAACATATTCACATTTCCTTAGGAATAAATTCAGTTGAGTTTTGTCGCCATTATAAAGTGGAATCACTCTCAATACTTCGATGGGAACAAGCACTAGTTTATCTTTAGGTTGAGTCATGTTTACTTATTCTGTAATACGAAAAAAGCCGATTAAAAAAACTGATTATACTAACTCTTTTTAGCATAAGCTGATATTGAATGGCATCAAAAATGGTAATGCACCTTATAATTTTATTAACAATATTTTCCTTAGTTTAATATGCGCCTTGAAGAGGTAACTTACAGTTCTGGTAAATACACGTATTATGGCTTGTGACAATATGTTGCACAATAATAATAAATAATGCATAAACAAGAAATGATTTTGACAATTGATGTGACATTAGTATCAGACTTTTGACAGAAGTTAGTTTAACAAAATAGTATAGAAACATTATTTTGTTTCGAAAGCATAAATAACACACTGACACTATTTATTTAAAGTTTACTTATAAATTACTCAAATATTTCTATTTTTTAAATATAGTTAATGAAGGGGATGAGCAAAAAAATTTATCTTAGAGAAATTCTTTGAAGTCATAAATATATTTTTTTTAAGAAGTGAAGTACTTTAACTTTAAATGATAATATAAAAAAGTAATTAAAAAATTATATAATTAATATACTTATATACAGATTGCAATAAATATGTATAAAGTAACAAAGTAGAAACTCATTTCATATTTGTTATCTTAACGTCTTATTCTTAATAAAATTGTGTTAATTAAGCAGTGTTGTTAAAAAATATTTAAATAAACATTCCAGTATTCAGAACTCTATGCAGTTGTATTTGTTTACGACATTGCTGTTAATAAGAAAGATTCTTAAGTTCTTCAACAAAGAAAAACAAATTGCTTTGTTACATATTCTCAGATGCACATTTTATGACTGAAACAAGTGTTTCATCGTAGAATTAATAAATTCATTAGTAGGTACTTTGTATATTCAACTTATAATCTTATCTCTACATATTAATTATTATTGATTTGATAAAAAAAGAACAATAAATTGATAATCGCATACAAAGACCACATTATCAAAAAACAATTTCGAGTAATACCTAGGCAGAGAGACAAATAACTAAAAGGTAAATTAATTTTAGACATTTCTCATTGTTATTTTTCCTGAGGCAATTGAAAGTCACCTAGATATTGTCTAATATATTTATATGTATATCTTTTTTTGCTTGTCTTAAGTGTTATACAAAGTTTTATAAATGTGTTTTCACTTAATTTGAAAGTTTTAGAAGTGTGAATTATGAGTGATCTTTATCTCTTAAAAATATTTTGATAACTGTACTATTAATTGTTTCTTTCAGGCATGCCTTCCAACGGTTCATGTGGTCCGTACTGTGGTAGCTACTGTACATCGCAATGCTCAAAACGTAACTGTCCACGACCTCCACAGATAAATCATAATCCTCCTCATCACCCACCAAACGATCCACCCGAGCACCCACCCCATTACCCACCACATAACCCACCACATCACCCACCAAATCGCCCACCAAATCACCCACCACCCCATCCACCACATCATCCGCCACATCATCCACCACATCACCCGCCACATAACCCACCACATTACCCACCACATTACCCACCACATTACCCACCACATTACCCCCCACACTATCCTCCACAGCCTTACCCACCCGGTCCAGTACACCGGCCTCTATAAATAAAGCTGAATATACCAATATTAACATTCTTCGCAAGCCAACACAGATGCCTTGGAATATAATTTTCATTAAAACAATTTTAATAACCAGAGTGATTGTTATAAGAGGAATAAGTTGAAGAAGACCCACAAAAGAAGTGAATGGTGCTAATTTAGCTAAACATTTATTGTTATTTTTATCGCCTTCGGAATCGCTCATCGGCTTTCATTTATGTTGTAATTATTTTATTAAACATTTGTTGAGAAATAAATGTATTTTTTTATTGAAGAAAAGATTAAAATTTATTTGCAAAGACCGGAGGATTGTTTTTATATTAGCGGCATTAATGACAAACTCATCACGCCTCTGACTAAGAACTGATGTGTCGGGACCACCAAATCACTGAAAGAATACATGTAATGAGAAGGTTTTTAACCAGTCTAACTCAACTTATTATAAGGAGTTGTTTTTCTAATACATTTTGATCATATATGGTTTACTTTTAACCTTTTGTAAGAAACTTCTGGAACGAAATTTTGCACACTAGAAACATATGCTGCTTGATCGTAAAGATTTTTGCGTGTGTTCATAAATGAGACCAAGTTTTAAGGATTTTTGACAATGTTTTAGTAAAACTTATTTTGTATCAAAAAAAATTATAAATAAAAAAACAAAAGAGTATTCGAGATAATTGACACAGGGTTCTTTCTGAAAACCTACTTACTTTTTACTATATAAGCTACAAGTAATTTATGTCCTGATGTTAGGCTTCCTTTTCTTTTTATTTTTTATAACCAAATGATGGAACACGAACGAACCGTTGACCTGTTTTAAGTTTCAAAAATAGTCCAAGGACATATGCAATATAAGGGATATCCTTAAATTGAGCATGGCCTCTTATGTAGTAGAAATTCGTAGACTTCTCAATATAATTGTAGAAGAAATATTATTAATATTTAGCTAAAGTAGTTTGTCTTCTATATTAAGGTAAAAAGTGCAATTTATAGTACCTACTAGGTCGAATAATTCTATAACCACCTTACTTTCTACCCATACATTAATTAATATATTAGTAAGCTGTTTTTCCACTAGCTAGCCTGAAACATCGGTATATTTGAGAGAAGGGGTAATCGCTAAGTCCCTTAGTCAGAAGTGAGAGTGAGATCATTCTTTCTGGGGATATTGTTGACATTGTCTACTTTTCTTTGCTTGATAAAAAAGGTATAGTAGTAAAATCTATTTACAATGATTTGTAAGAATCTTTGTAACACCAACCATAGAACCAATAAGAATAAAATGTCTTAATAAAGTTTGATTAAGTTCATGATACAACTACTATTATCCTTATAAAGTTACAAAAGATATATTTGACATATATCATTTAAACATAATAAAACTTCCAAAAAAGTCTAATTCATTCAACAATCTTTACAGTCCAAAATTTTATTAGTTAAAATTTAAAATCTTTGAAATTACCAAAGGATTTATTGAAACGATTCTGCCTTGTGGCTCAAATTCCTTTACCCTTTATGCTAGATCTATAAGGCGTTGTTTGAAGTCCTTTCTCAGAACGATAAAATATAAAAACTTAATGATCTCTGTTGTAAAATATGTTGAGCACATAAAAAACTGACGTTGCTTGCAACATTTTATAACACAGTTAAACTTTGGCATTTCTTAATTTAAGAACTTTGAAAACATATTTTAATTTTAACTTCTTTATATATGAATTGTATTTCGCATAATTTTTAGTTAATTTGATGTGTATTATATATAAAAAATATAAGAAAAATTACGTAAATGTTAAATACATTAATCAGCCTATAAAAATTATTAAAATGAAGATTAGTATTAGGTATAGTTAAAATTATAAAAAACGAATTAACTTTATACACATTCATAGTCATAGGCTGTTGTATCTCTAACCTAGCATAAAAATTACATCTACTTTCTTATTAAATAAGTAACATTTCAAATTGAACATTAATAAAACGTTGATAAAAACGAGGTTTCAAAACAATGTAGTCATAATAATTCTCCCTCAAATCGATTTGCAATTCTGTTTTCCTTTTCAACAACAAAATTCCATTTTCCAAACACAAAACTGAGAAAAGTCGCTGTGAAACCTAAATAGCAACGTTGTAAGGAAACGAAGCGGGATAAGTAAATAATGTGTTCTTTGAGAAATATTTAAAAACAAATGGCAGATGAAAATGTTTAACAATTACATAAATGGGTTGAGGCTTTTAAAACGTTTGTGATAGACACTTTGAAATGGAAGTATTGGAAATATTTATCTATATTTTGAATTGAATTTTATAAAATATTGTTCATATGAATCATTTTTTATTTCTAGCGTTTACATAAAACCTTATCGGTTACACGTCACTCAGTTCTTTGTATTGATATGATAAAGTGATTAAGATTATTCAGTAATCAATAAAATATACCTCGAAATATTACAGGCGACAGTGTTGTTTTGATATTCATAACTTCAGTTATTATTGTTTAATTCAAAGATCTGTTGTTTTTATATTACATTTATATCTTTGATTTGTAAACACAAAAGGGAGTTTTTAATTTATTTGATATTTGAGCAGAAGTTCCAATAAAACCTTGTATTGATTACGGAGTCAAATAAGGCTATTCTGGTTAAGTATGTGGTATTTATTATTATAGTTACCTTTTAGTATTCTATTTGAGAAATATTTTATTGAAGTTTAAAAATCAGTTGCACAATTTAAATTATGTATAAGTTTAAGTTTATTGAGGTGATAAAGCCTAGCTGTGGTCAAGTTACTACAGCTCGAACATGTGCTGGCTCGACCGGGGAAGTACCACCCTCTCACAAAAGATCGGCGTGAAGTAGTCTTTAATCGCGACCCTTACTATTTTTCTACTATTTCCTCTTCTTCTTGCAATGCAACGCATCTACATTCCTTATGTTGCAGAAGTCCATGAGGACGCCAACTACCTTCCATCAATTAGTCGTCTGCTTATTTACCTCTTTGACATAAAAAAAAATCTTTTCTTGATTTTATATTGTTTAGCTAATAATATATTAAAATATCACATATTCCTAACAGGTACAAAGATTTTCAATGTCCAAATATTCTGTCGTTCGTTTGTGTGAGCGGTTTCCAAAATTGTTCCTAACTATGGTCTTTCCTGTGGACTAATGGAATCATATTATCACTAATCACCTTTCATATTACTCCACATCAAACTTAATGTGACTTTGTCTGTATGTTTAAGCAGGTTTATATTCTCCATTATAAATTGTCAGACTCTTTTATAATTTAATAAATAAATGCTATTAAGTTTAATCTTCCTATATAATGATACATACCTTGTACATGGTTTACTTTCTACATTCATATTGAATTTATGAATCAAGAACGGAAAAAAAGATAATGTTTTATACATAATATCTGTTACAATAAACGGCAAATAAATTTCATACTCAAACAAAATTGAGTGAACCACATGAATTATTCTTCATCATAGCTTTATTATTTCCTTTCCGAATTATTTCCTTTCCGTACTTCTTATATAAATCTGTACTTCTCTATTTTCAGAGATGTCACCCCCGCAGACACTTCCATGTGGTCCGTATTGTGGAAACGGATATTGTCTACCACACTGCTACTACAGAAATATGCCCCCAGTGCCGCCTCATCTACAGTATTGGAAGCCACCACCGTATAGCCAACCTGACCCATATCCACATCCTGAACCACCTCAATATCCACCACATTATCCACCCCACTACCCACCACACTATCCACCACACTACCCACCACAATATCCGCCAAATTATCCACCACATTATCCACCAAATTACCCTCCACAATATCCACCAAATAATCATCCCTGTTTACGATAAAAATCATAATTAATAAGAAAGTTATTCAGAAAGAATCACTGTATTAAACATTTGATATTTAATATTTATGACAAATAAATTATATTTCAAAACACATTTCATTTTTCATAGGTATATTTCAATTCCAAAAACTAGTAAAAGATGTCAGTCAGATTTAAGTCTAGCATAATTTATTGTTATTAAAGCGATCAAACTTAATGGTTAAATTAAACCAGTGGTAGTAATTGTTTTCACGTTTACGGTGATATATTTGGGAAGCAAACATCGTTCTTATTAACAAAGTTTTTCTCTATAACTAGATTACGTACGCCAGATGTGTTTGATGGTGTCTGGTACAAGACTCATAAGGGAAGCGACTGATTTTATCTGAAATATAATGAATGAAGAATTGTTTTTGTTGAAATATTAATTTTATATTTAAATTTCATCTATAGACACTTTGTTTAATAATTTCGAATTGACAATAAACTGTCTTTAAAAGATTTAATGAAGTCTCGGATGCTAGAAAAAACATTATAGACCAATTCAGACATTCGAAGCTACTAAAATACCCATCTATACTAATATTATAAAGCTGAAGAGTTTGTTTGTTTGTTTGTTTGTTTGTTTGAAAGCGCTAATCTCCGAAACTACTGGTTCGAATTGAATAATTCTTTTTGTGTTGGATAGTCCAGTTATCGAGGAAGGCCGTAAACTATATAACATCACGCTACGACCAATAGGAGCAGAGATATAGTGGTAAATGTGTAAAAAACGAGAGAAATTATTTCATCTTTGCAGCCTTCCATTGCGTGCGCCGTGAAAACGGTTCAAGATACACAAAAAATATATATGAAAGAATAATAGCTCTTTTAATGATCTAAAAAACAGTCCGCGACAATATATGTCTATCTTTTAAGATTAACTCACAAAAACCGTTTTTATGGTACCTAATTTGGTCGAAATAATTTGTTTAAGTTGTATCAACATAATAATATTAATCTTTATTCAAATAAACAAAAAAAATATGTTGTTGGTAAAGAGTACTTCATTGTGAATAAAAAAAAACAGGTTTTATCCTGAAAATTCTACGGGAACTCGACCATTCCGAAAACCCCGCAAGAACGGGAACTATGTGGGGAAGAACCAAAAAACTGCCGGAAGTCACTATTCCACGCGGACGAAGCCGAGGCAAAAGCTAGTTAAGTATAAAAACAATACGAAGGTTAAAAAAAAATTACCATAAAACAAATTTTTATCGTAAAAGTAATTGAGACCAAACTTCAAGATTATGAGATGATGTATAAAAAAGGTATTAGTGCCTTTTTCTACAAGCCACTGTTTTTTAGATATGGTTCAAGAAGTTTTAAAAGTAGTAATCGTCATAATATGCACTTTTTAACAGTTGTTTCATGGGACACTATTGGTAAATAATGTGTTTATAAAAAGAAAAATAGTTTTACAAAGTATATATTTTAGTGTGAAACCATCAATCGAGCGCTAGGACATAAATAGTAAACAGATCAGATGGTGAGTTACGGTTATAGCCGGCTATAGCTCGGTCCGGTTATAGCCGGGTCCGGCTCGGCTCTGACCGGGACTGATCTCTAATATCCGGGTTATCGGAACTCACGGTGTTAAGTTTGCGAGATAAAAAACTTGAAAATGATTGAATAACAGTTTCATCGCACATTGCTTTTATATAACCAATAATAAATTCTTCTTATAATCGAAGGCCGTATTAGTATTTAAATAAAATACCTTTATACATACTAAACTCTAAAAGTATAAATATAATAAGTTAGTTATATCTAATAAGTCTATTAGGAAATATGTCCATAATTTTGTCCTTTGTTTGTCCGTGAACACTTTAATATAGTTTTTAATTTGATGAACCCATTTAAAGTGTTTCATAGTTATCGAGTATTACATCAAGTCACTCCAATCTACTGATGATAACATATATCACACTGTATACACGTGGCTAAGGTTTACTCCGAGCCGTCCTGAGTCGATACAACTGGAGTCACATATCACTAACATCGGCTCGTAAATCGAGCAACCTTGACTGTTCACGTCACGGAATACTTTCAGGAAACTTTTAGGAAAGTATTCCGTTATTACATACGAGGGAGTCTCATGTATGAACAGATTTTATTTCCACTGACAATATTTATAACGACGCCACAATGTATTGCTTATAATAACTTCCAAGTCTCGTGAACTACACGACCCTCCTCTTAGAATGTAACCGTTTGGTTCACGATACTCACAGACGGATCTCAAACACGCGATGTCAGTCAGGAGACGTCTCCTCACACACTCGTACTAGTTGAACATCACGCGACTGACTTTCATATTAATGTCAATATATATTGGAAAAGATATACATTATAATATGTAAAGAAGTGTCAGATATATGTTCCAGTACAGTTCTATGTATCGTGTGTTGGCTCGCGGCCAATGTTATATGGTTTTAGAGAAATTGTGTCTCATTTATTATTTATTTATGTGAATGAAAGTACATACTTTAAACTGAACATAAATCATTATTCAATAAACATTCTTTAGCTCAAAGTGAGTATATGAGAAATATTTAAACGATGTTCATTTTTCATTTAAGGAAACAACGAGACGGTGTTTAATGAACGTATTTGGGTTTAATTAAAATATAACTGATAACATTACTAAATAGATTATGAATATTAAGAGATATTATTCCACACTAGTTGTGGATGTGTCTTCATCCATGTTTAACTTATTTATAATTAGTCACTAAGTATACACAGAGTCTATAAATTCGATCATCTTCAACACCAATCTATTTGAACTCTGTAACATGTATAAGAATCTATCAAGTGTACATATTCAAGATGTCCAACGTCGTATCATTAAAACACAAGATGTAATCGCAACTCGTCCAAGGATCTCTGGTGAGTTCAACTGAGACACGTTTTAAATATTTAATAAGTACTCACTATGTTGGTTACATTTAAAACATTCAAATATAACTTGCCTCAAGAAGAACTTAACAATATAATATTTAGTTCAAATATTCAGAGTATTATAATATACCTTCGATTGATACAAACAGTTTCTTTCAAAGGATTTTCAAATAAAACTTAGAAAAAACATGATACTAAAAGATAAAATTTTATAAATAACATGATTTATCAACAATTTCTTTTTTTAATGTTGTAATGTATGGAAATTTTACGAGTAAGTAATTTATATATATTTGTTAGTGTGTATTTTTGATTAGAATATAACTACGCTTTTTACATTATTTTACTTATCATTATCATTATAATTTTTCATTTTTACTTGCATAATTAACTTAATTCACCTTTTGTATACAATTACAAAGCAATCTACTTCTTTCTTTATATTTTATACGAACCCAACAAATATTTCATATGTATAAAAGTAGTTTTTATACATATGAAATTTAAATTACTATAACAAATTTTAATTCTTTAAAAACCTTATTACGAGATCTCTTTGAAACTTATAAACATCAACCAACTTTAAAAAGACGAAGTTATCAATTGGTTTATATTTTTTTAATCAAATTCTTCATATTCTTCTTTTTTCATTAATAACATAAGCTTATAAACGAAAAAAAATTATGAATTTCTTGATAAACAAACATTTTATCAAAGAAAGTCAATTGGCATACCAACTCATTAGTGACGAAGGAATTCATTGAGCCCACATACTCGTACAAGCAGACGATATTAATATGACAAAACATAAAATGGACTATGTGCAGTTAGAAATACAGTTCATTTTGCTTCGACATTACCTAATTAAGGATTGGATTGATTGAACTTTGATTTTGCATTAGACCCTCGTACCACGGTTTAGTACTTAATGAAACTGTCAAATGTTGAAGAGACTTTAACTTCAATGATATTTAAACTTATCAGCAGTGGTAAAGGAATAGTGTTTAGTGCAATAAGTTATTCATACTTAATAAGATACAAATGTCCTTATGTTAATGATTGTAATGAATATTTGATGTTTCCATTCCCGATGATGTAGCTGTATAATTAAGATGTTTTAATCTTCCAATCATCATCAGCCTATTGGTGACCACTGCCGAGCAAATGAATCTTCTCTTAAGGAGAAAGTTAAAGCATTAAGCACCATTCTTGCTCAAGACGGATTGGCGATTTTAAACTTACAATTCGAGACTATAAGTCATTCCTCACGATGTTTTCCTTCACAGCCCTGTCAATGATGATAAATACTCTTTGAAAGTACATATTATAGAATTAGAACTTGCCAGGTTTCGAACCCGCGCCCTCATGCACGACAGGCGGGCCTTTAACCTCCAGACCACAACGATTTGCCATTAGTTTAGAAACAAATGACTATCAACAATATTTTAATGAAACTGAAAGGCTTTTATGAATACATAGCAGCTGCAAGTAAAGTCAGGCATGCTTCTGTATTTTAAGTTTTATAAGCATGGCAAATAAACATGAAAAAGAATGTTGATAAAACATATCCAAGATCGAAATTCAACTTACATTATATTACTTGCAGTTGAATACTTTTCGGATATCAATACGCATATGTTATTATAACTACAAAGTACATATTAAATTAAATTTTTGTTCTTTATTACAAAGAAGATATATTTTTTAAGTTATTTTTTTCAATAATTAATTGAGAGAAAAATTATGTGCTGCAAAACTTATGTATTGGCTTTACTAAGGAGGCGCTGTTTTAACTTTTACTGACATCAATAAAATCAAAGCCTCTAGAGTTGATAATTTGTATTATTCAATTGTTATATTGTTATCACGTCTTTTGTCTTATTCTTGAAACGGTGACTCTTCATGACATAGGAAATAGTAATGAAACTTAAAAATTACTTAAATGAAACAAATACTTTTCGTATTATGTGACATATCTCGTCTACCCGTGATCACGGTTGCTGAAAAGTAACCGAAACTTCAGGAGTACATATGTAGTTTTAAAAAATAATAAAATACGCGTTGTATAATGCGAAAAAATATT